GTTTTCCATCATGATGAGGCCAAAACTAAAATCAGAGCAGCGTCATCGGTAAGATATTTCGGTCGAGAAAGTCCTAACAAGTTCTACTTCTGCAAAACTGCTGTCAGGATGCAATTTAGTGAGGCACTCCACCCCCAGTGGAGGCTCACTGGGCAGCAGTGGAGGCCTGTGGTTTCACTGGGCTGCAGCCAGGCGCACAATGTTCCCCAGTGCTTCACAAACAATAAATCTGTAACAAATAAAAGCCAATGAGAGCGTCAGGCATTGGACAGAGTACAGAGTTACATAACGGAGGAAAAAATAACAAGCTAATAAATTGAGAATAAACTAATTATAGTACATAGACGCACGCACAAAGGCCTGCCGTGAAGAACGTACAAGGAAAAGAGGTAACAAGCAGGATTTCTGTGCTCAGACCTCCTGTGTTCGGCCCAAATCTGGTTCTGCGGTGCAAAAACTTTAGATGTGAAGGTTTCATATTTTCCTTTTAATTATTTAAAGCTGCACGAATCAATATTTTCATATTAGCAATGGATCAAATGACTATGTCTAATGTAATGTAGTGACAAACCCACAGCTTGAAAATATTACTTTCAGGGCTGTTAATGTGTAACGGGCTTCATTTTGCAGACTAAATACTTAAAGCTGGGGTAGGGGAGAAAAGGAAGAAAAAGAAAACAGCAGAATTTGAAAATACACCCTCCTTCTGCAGCTCTCCCCTCTCTGTCCTAAGCCCCACCACGACCATATGCACGCACTTCATACAGTAACCCAGTGTTTCCCATACATTGATTTATTTCACCTTATTTCACGCAGCATATTAGCCAACACCTTTCTTGCCCTGCTCTCTTTCTCTGTTTATCGGACCACATTTGAGATAATAATTAGCAGCTAGCCACCTAACAGTCCCTTCACCTCGCTCCCCACTGCTGTGGACTGCTTTGCCAGGTGGACAGCAGTAAACAGCTTGGGAGAGGGACCTTCAGTCAGCAGCTGTAGCAGCTCAAATCCAGCCAGCGCAAACCCCCAAACCCCGGTGTCACAGCGGGCTGGTGGCCAGCAGCAGCACTGGGTCTAACCTGCGTAACAGCAGCAACAGAAAGTTTTGTGATCTGGTGGAGACTCAGGGCTGTCCAGTCCAGTCCCCTACAGCTGAGGTTTGCTCTGACTAGATTCAGGTTGTTGCTGCGGCTGCTGACTGGGGGGTCTGTCTTCAGAGCTGCTGTCCACTCTCCTCCTGGCAAGGTGGTCTGTAGCGGTGGGAAGTGAGGTGGCGGACACACTCTAGCTATAGCTAATGTTAGCTACAAAAATATGAACTAGAAGTAGCCGCAGTCATGAACCTCTCCGGTTGGCAGAAGGCTAAACTATAAGCAATGTTTTCTCTCTATCTCTGAAACGCTTCACCAATATTGACACGTGTTTTATTTCGTTTACTGTCAGACTCTGTTTTTGATAAGTCCATCTTCTCCTCTATTAAATCAGACTTTCACTGAAGTCACCCACATCTGAATTTAAAGGACAACGAATAGGAACATTCTCTCTGAAATGACCTGTGATTGGCCAAAGTCTCCTGTAATGAGCCCAATTTTCGAAAGCCTGAAAACAGAGCCAAGAGGAGGTGCAGAAGGCTAATTTTCTCTGAGACTGCTCAAATTACAATATGCTCAAAGGTTTAATTGTGTAGTTAATAAAGTAAAACTTAATTCTAACCACCATATTCAACCTTATGAACAGTTTATAATCATTTATTTAAGACTTATATCCCATATATCATGTGTTAAAGGTTAAGGAATAAAGGCTCTTTTTAAGTGTTTATCATCCTTTGAGGGATCCATATCTGAATGATAATAGATAAATAAGAACAGATAATAAATGAAAATATGGTAAAGCACAGTTGTAATAATATATGTTTTCATTGGAGAAATTCAACTAGTTGACAACACTTTAAACACTTAAAAATGTCTTTAGATCAGATTATAACTACATTATAGTGTGTTATAAACAATCATATGTCTATGTACTTGCAGCCTTAATTATGTGGCCATTAGTTACGTCAACAGAGTGAGACGACAACAAACTTATAGAAAGGCATCGATGCTTAATGTTCAGACAGCATCCTACACTTCCTGTCTGCTCCTTTTACACCTGTGAAGCCCAGAAATCAGCTCATTGAGATGATTGACAGGTGTTGGCGTGACCGACTGAGTGGGAGGACGGATGTACAAATAACACCTTTCGTGAATCCTCAAGAGGAAATCTGGCATACGGTCGCTTTATAAACCCAGACTTAATATCAGTTTTGAAGCCCTTTTTTGAAAATATAGCCCAAAATCACAAATTTGCCTCTGAGACCTTTAAATAAGACCTCAGTCTGAATCGATCCCCTCCTATCTGAGGATCTCTGATTGGACGGCGGCTCACAGGAGGTTCACAGATCTCGAGATGCCAGCAGTGAGTCAGACAAAGCCAGAAATATCACCTGCCGGTTGAATTCTATTTAAAAAAAACCCAATTAGACTTTTCAAGAATCCGATGGCCAGGGCGAGTATGATGTGGGCAGAGAAAAGGTTGGCCTCCTGCCCTTCTTGTTTGTCTCCATCTGACAGCTCCTAACAGGAGCAGACAGCTGAGGTCAAGCCTCTGTGCTGTTTCATGTCGCTGTGAAGTGCAGAACGCTGTAATGACGCTTAATGGGATCAGATCACAGTCAGAGAAGCAGCTATTGTTTCTTCTATTTCCACTGCAGACACGTCACATTATGATGCAGGAGTCTGGTTATTTACCCAAGAACCAAACTGAATGTTGCGTTACTGCTTTTACCTCCTCCTGCTCTTCAGGATAATTTTGTTCTGGAAAAAAAAAAAAAAATTCTCTAGTAAATCAAAGACCAGTCAGAACTTTATGACCCAGTATCAGAGCTATTTTTGAGACTTTTAAGGCAAGTTTAAGTCTTAAAAATCAAATGCATAAAGATTTCCGGCTCTCTGAATGCTGACCATTGAAATGACATGGCTTATATATGAGGTCACAGTACAGGGGTCACGGTTTGATACATGCAAAATACAAATTACAAAGACTGATGAACGCAGCTCTGAGTTTCTGCCCAACAACTTTTAGCACTCTAATTCAGCTGTTGCAATAACTGCAATATTGCAAGACCATGCTAATGTCAAGCCACACACAGGGATGGCAAGCACCTACCACTACCGCTATGTGTATGTCTTTTCTTTATTTCATGGGAGTGCTGCATGTTTACACCATGCTTCATACACCAGCAGCGTGACGAGGCGCTGAGCACTGTACGATTGCTGTTTTTTTCTGGTAAGCGAGAGTTGAAAAACGTTCAATGAGTGAAGGAGGGGATAGACAAATACCTCAAAGACCAACCTGCACATCGCTGAACTACAACAACGGAGGAGAAATAATAACATAACCCACACAGACTGGTGGGTCCATCCTCTCCCTACATGCTTCTGCCTTCCCTTCATCCAGAGCAAGTATTCTAACTTGTGCCGCCATTTTTACTTCCTCAAATATTCTGTATCATATCAACTATGCAACCAAAGCATCCCAACTGAAACCACAGCCTCCCATGTTGCACCTCATTGCTCTGTGCTCTGCATTTAACAACAAACAAGTAAAACTGTGTCAACTTTGTCATTTAAACAAGCAGCAATACACCCTGATAAAAGCCCAACAATAAAGCTTGCTAGCAATAAAGAGTCTGTCAGCAGTTCGAGAGGTTTGAAATGGATCTGTAAGCCTCCCACATTACCAGATAATCTGGGCTGAATATTGGTACTGACCAAGGGCCCAGACCAGATTTCTCCACCAACTGTCGGGAGGGATGAGTCAGAGATAAATTTGCCAAAAATTCATGTAGTCTCAGTCGGCTTTAGCCAAGTCTCAAGGTGAAATTTTCTGGCTTAAGTCCAACCTGAGTCCATGTCTCAAGCCAGCCAAATAATGTTTGAAATGACGACCTACATCAGTTCTATCTTTAAAAATATATCATCTTCCAGACATGATTTTCTTGAATACAGCAACATAAACTTTGGGGACAAAGAGAGGCATATGGCATGCAACAGCTCAATGCAAACATTGCATTTTCATGGTGTTCATTTTAACCACGAGGCCTCGTGGACACTGGACAGCCCGTACATATGACGGTATTTCCATCAAACTGTGAATACATACTGAAGCACTAATTCTGAAAAGACGAGATAAGATAGAAAGAATTTTAAGGAGAAAGAAAAGTGCTTCAGATTAATCACCAACTAGATTTTTATGATGGAAAATAATCTTAATCATATCTGTGCGATCATCTCATCAACCAAATAAATTAAAAGTGGACTTTAGAATTAAATTAGAATTGCAAATTTATCGGCAGATAAATGCTATCCTAACGTGGTTTACCAATCAGTATGAGAGCTGAAGCCTGGATCACATCGGTAAGAGTGGGGTGACCTTTTGGTTACAGAAATTTTCACTGACAGTGGAGTCACAAGTTCAGTCCTTATCAATGTGTCCTCAGAGAGACACTAAAGCAGCAGATATATGCCTGAGAATAAAAGAAAACATAAATCCAACCTCTCTGCCTGCTCTCCTGACTGTCCTGTAATAATCCTCGCCGTCCCAGTAGACACCTGTCCTGACCAGCACTCCGCAGGTCCACCGCCTCCAGCACAACATCCCGACTTCCCTCAGAGCCACACCAGAAATCTCAGGATCCAAATAATCTCGGAGCAAAAAACCCATCAACGAGCCTCCAGGGCTCCCACTCCCCTCGTCCCAGATTGGCCGAACCCCCTGCCGACGCTCTGCTCATGCATATTGACTTTACCAGCTGTGTCAACAACGCAAGGAACAACACTAGAAAAAATTAACTTATGCTGGGAAAAAGAAAAAAGGTTTCCAGTAGCTCAGCATGTCGGCTTGTCTGTCAAAGGTGAGGTGAAACCTCTTCGAATAGTGCCACAACAACAGCAGCAGCACTGCATCTCTGTGGTGTTCACACACTTTATAACCCTCAAACAGAAAATGAAAGCCAATGATGAGGCATGGAACTCAAAGGGACTTCCCTGATTAACTGAAGAAGGAAACTACACTCATCCCCAGGCCGTATGCTGAGAGATATTATCAGCAGTCGACCCGCTCCACAGCTTTACCAGGTAACACCTTCTGAAGCATGACTACACCTGACTTATGCAATTAATCATTCATGTTCTGTGCCAAATAAAACTAGTATTTCCGCCTGCATGTCTCTGCGAACCAGACAAGTTGCGGTTACAGTTTACATTCAGGTCTGTGAAAAAATGGATGCTTCACATATATCTTCCCCTGGCAGCACAGAAGATCTATACAATCAGCACAGTCTCAAGGTTGATACCCAAGATTTAGGGTCACCAGTTTAGTTTCTGTTCCTGATTTATGATGTTGAATAATGTCCAGAAAGGCAGTGTTTTTGCATAACATTATGATGTCACAGTGAAGCTGAACTTTGACCTTTTGTACATAAAATGTCATCACTTCATTATTTTATCCTAGTAGACATTTCTGTGAAATTGTGTCATAATTAGCAAATTAATTCCTGAGTTATGGCCCAAAATATGTTTTGTGAGGCCACAGTGACCCTTATCTTTCAAAACCAAATTCCAATCAGTTTATTCCTGAGTCCAAGTGGACGTTTGTGCCAAATATGAAGAAATTACCTAAAGAAGTTCCTAAGATATTGCCTTCCCGAGAATGGGATGGACACCCTGAAAATATAATCCTTCCAGCCACGGCTATCGACATTTGTGACAAATTTGAGGAAATGTCCCTCTGACCTTATTGAAATATCGTGTTCATGAGAATGAAACAGAGGCAAGGTCACAGTTACCTTGACCTTTGACCACCAAAATCGAATCAGTTCATCGCAGCAGGCTGAGCAAAGTATTCCAGACATCCCTCTCCCCAGCGACAATTTTCAGCTTCCAAGGCGTTCCCAAGACAGATGAGATATGTAATCCCTCCTGCGTGTTCTGGGTCTGCCCTGGGACCTACCAGTGGAACGTGCCCGTACCACCCCTTACGGGAGGCGCCCAGGGGGCATCTCGACCAGATGCCCGAACCACCTCAACTGACCCCTGTCGACACGAAGGAGCAGCGGCTCTACTCCGAGCCCCCAAGCTCTCTACCCTATCTCTATGGCTGAGCCCAGCCACCCCACGGAGGAGGAACATTTCGGCCACTTGTATCCATGACCTCATTCTTTAGATCACTACCCAGAACTCATGTCCATAGCTGAGGGTCGGGACGTAGATGGACAAGTAAATCGAAAGCTTTACCTTCTGGCTCAGCTCTCTCTTCACCACGAGTCTGAAACAGCGTCCGCATCACTGCAGATGCTGCGCCAAACTGCTGATTCATCTCACACTCCACTCTACCTTCACTCATGAACAAGACCTTGAGATACTTGAACTCCCCCGCTTGGGGCAGTAACTCTCTCCCAACCCAGAGGGGGCAATCCACCGTTTTCTGGAACCGTTAGGAGTACAAAATACTAAGAAATTACTTCATGGCGATCTTGAGACATTTTGATCAAGAGAATGGCACGGACGTAAGCACGGATCGACAATCGGAAAACAAAATGCATCCGTCCAGGGCTGTTGCCAGCACAGAGGCACAAAAACAGGTTCCTGCCTGTTTTTGAGGACTGGATGCAGCAACACTGACAGAAGAAACCCAAGGACCAAGACAACTTATTCAAGTGGTTTCAAAGCTGTAGTCCTGTTCTGTTCAATTAGTCACGTCACATACCTACAATCGTAAAAAACAAACCCCACCAGAGCCCAATCTAAAGTGGACCGATGTGCTCCTATTCAGGTGATCTCAGTTTTTATGTTTTGTCCATATAAGCGCTTGATTGACAGTTTTCCTACCAGCCTAAAGGAACTGCACAAACCAAACAAACAAAGCAGAGTGCACATTTGGAGGGGCCATGACAAAATAAATCAATATGAAGGGTTGCAGAGCTTTAAAAAGTTTTGAAACGACTGGCTGAGGTTCAAAAGCCTTCTGGAAAATAGAAGAAAAATCAATAAATAGAATAGAACATGATGCAGGTGAAGAGAAAATTGCTTTGGCTGACTTGAAACAAACAACCCAACCATCACAGGCGAATTTTTATTTTTTCCTCTTATATGCCCAGTTCCTGCTGCACTGGGAAATAAACCCCATGACAGAGTTTCCCAGTAACGGACAAAGAAAAGAAGAAGCTTCCCATTCACACCCAGTGAAGGCGGTCTGAGCTGCCTCGAACAGCGTCTGGATTTATTCCCTGACATTATTTCAGCCAGCAGAGCCATTCAGGTGCTCCTCTGAGGTCCTGGCATTTAAAAATGCTTTCTCATGTTCACTGGGAGATCACTGGGAGAGGCGGCCTGACAACCGTCGCCTAGGCTGAGGAAGACATTAACCAGCCTCTCTTTGTTTAGAAAATCGTACCGTGATAAAGATTACTTTTTTGGATTGTTCCACAACATTAATAAGAATCTGTTTTCAAACCAAGTTTCACCTTTTCATTTTATTCATTTGAATGGCTGTTTGTTGTTTCTTTATTTTGTGTCTTTCAAGGGAGGTGTTTCTGTCAGCAAGTTTTCTTGTTTTAAAGGTGTGCAGGATTTTGGTTAGAAAAAGCAATGTATAGACTCATACTAAAGTAATCCCTCTCTATCATCACCTTTGACCCACTAGAAGTGTGCGGGGGGTTTATTTATCTGCAGAGACTTTGCCTCTCTGTCTGAATTATCAGATTGTTCTTCTTTGTCGTGTTGCGGATATTTCTGGGCACATGGTGCAGGTGAGGTCAGGAGTTTATATAAAGGTAATGTCCAGGTGCCAGACCATATGCATCCAAGAAAAAGCTACTAGAATTGTGGATACAACACATAGAAAACGCAAATAGAGCGAATGAGAGTGAATCTGATGTCAGCGATTACTTTTACTTCTGTTGTTTAGAAACAGTTACACACAATTCCTGCATAGCATACCTTTACTTATCAATATGAAGCAAATGTTGATCGCACAATGCATTAGCTATACAGTAACGATACCATCAGCGTTTAGATTGGTTATCTTTCAGCTTCACTTTCACAAGTCTTTCTGCCAGCGGGTATGATCTAGCGCAAAATAAAACCTCAATTTATGGCACAAAGGAAGTGAATCAACCAAAACAGGAAGAAGGTAATGTTTTGTTTTCTTCTCTAAAATTACCAAAGTCTGTCTAAGTTCTTGGCAGTTACTATCCACAGTAGCAGACATGGCTGACGGTGGGACTAGCTACTAACTCAACGTTAAGAACAGTCATGAGGACAGCCTGCTCTCTGTTGTCAAGGGCCTTTTGCCACCACCATCGCCTATACCTGTGCATCTTACTGACGAATACTACAGGCATGAGGTGAAGGAAGAAGAAAACCATGATGAAGTCATTTTTGAAGTGAGGCCAGACATGTTCAAGGCGAGATCCTAAGCTGGCAGTGCTGCTGATGAAGAAGAGATGTAGGGTCATCCCCAAGATGGAGCTGATGCATCCTTATTGTAAGCTTGTGTCAATATTAGAAAGCTTCTCAGTAGACGCAAAATTAATATCGTCCACAGCTGCAGGATGAGTCATCAACTTTCTTTTTGTTTTCCAGGAAGTGACAAACTCTAAACAACTTTAAGAAACCTACAAAACAACTTTTTTTGTCATCGTTGAGACAGATACTGACGTATAAGTGACGATCAGCATAAGACATATCCCAGCTGGCACCAGACGTCAATATAAAGTCAGAAAGACATAAAGTTTTCGTTGGAATAAAAATCTAACAATGTCAGAATTTCACATTATGTGGATGTTATGATGTTTTGCAGACATTGGGTTTTGTCCTCCATACTTTACGACTAAAAGTTTTCATTCTACGTCAAGAAGACGGTTGCATGAGGTGTTTGGAAGATGTTGGACTGTGGTTGCTTAAGAACACAATTTAAACCCAACAAAACAATGTTATCTGTCATCAGTATTCTAATTGACGTTGGTATTAGACATCCTGACTGAGCGGCAGCCTCCGGGACTGAAAAATGAAGCCAATGCAGAAGTACAAAAAAACTGCAATTCCTTGAATGGCCACTTGAGGCTGGCTCCAAAAAACAGTTTTGGTCTCTATAGACCGTTTCAAACTGGACAACATAAACATTCTAAATGGGTCCCTTTGTATTTCCTGTTTGAATGTATGTTAATGCAGAAGCTGACAGGAAGTAAACAGGGACCAAAGTTGTTGCCCTAGCAACAGAAAAGCAATGAAACGGTCCATAGCTAATTTTAGCGTTCATGACAACGGTACAGGGGTGAATGTTTTGTAACTCATTTGATCACATTTGATTAAGGCTTAAAGTTACTCATTTTTTTTTCTCAAAAAAACCAAGATGGCGATGGCTAAACTTGCTGAAACCAGTGGGTGACCTCACAGTAGATACGTTCACTATTATATACAGTTTATGGTCCTGACATTACATTTTGGTCAGCCAATGCCACAACCATATATCCATATATATCGTCTAACGTCCTTGGTAGCCAGCTTGGATTTGATCAAAAATAATGCTACACATCTACTTTGCTTTGAACTTTAACCAGCTTCCTGTGAGTCAAAGAAACAAGAACAGGGACAGACAATGAGAGACAATAGCGACGCTAAATGTCAAGTAACTAATACCCTCTCCCTCCCTTCCTCCCTGTCCAGCAGCTGTCCCCAGTGTGTTCTGATCTTTCCACATCACCTCCAAATCCGCCTGCACACCGGTTCCCAAATCCCCCGTCAGTTCTGCTGTACACATACCTGCCCTTGAGCCATTGTTCCCTGCCAAATATTCTATTGTGCTCTCCAAGCCCCCGGCCCTCTGTCTAGTTATCCTGCCTGCCTTGTTTATTGACCCTTCACTGCCCTTTCTGGACTTTAAGCCCCTTTAGACTTGGTTGCCTGTTGTGACTGTCTGCCTGCAGCTGAACCTTGTTTTTCTGTTCAATGACTCAGATCAGCATCAGATCATCTGTGGAGGCTTCAGGGACCGAGTGGGAGAGAGGAGTGAGGGGACTGACAGTACACTAAAACTGCCTGAGGACAAAAATCTGCATATTGTTGTACTTCAAAACAACATTAAACCTGAACAGTGGGTGAGCGGGAGTGTAATTGTGCAGCAAATTAAAGCACGACTGCGCATTCAATCCCTAATAATCGTTGATTGATGCAATAAAATACTTGACTTGTTTGCTGAAAACTGTGTCAGTGTTAACACTCTGATAAAATACTTCCTCACAGCATCGACACTTCACAGAGAACATTATCAACAAGTCTGCAGACGTTCATTCATTTCCTTCAGAGCCGACTGACAGTTTGACAGCCTGACCACTTGGCAGCTGAGAACATCTGGCTGCTGTTAAACTCTATACCATCGCTGGCTGTCAACGAGCACTCACATCTCTGCACCTTCGTGTTTTCAGACCTGCTTCATAGACAACTGTTGTGTCTGGCAAAGCTCACGGCTTTTAACTTTTAAGTTTTAAGTCTCTAACAACTGCTGCATTAACTGCATTTTTATATTTCTAACACTTGCCTCTGTTACCACGAGCTGAGTAATAATGTGAACTCATCAAACCCATGCAATGTTCTGACAGGAAATGACAAAGCCAAATAAACAATATCACACCCTGACCTCAGAGTGACATAAGAACAACCATGATATAAATAAGAAACTGTGAATAATTATGTTGATATAAATACTGAGTTCAAGATTATAACAACATTTTATTTTAAGAAGAAAAGTGAGGAGGTTTTGTTTGACATTGTACTTCAGCAAGAAGTATTTAAAGGCCCCACACTTTGGATAAGGTTAAGGAAATTTAATGGCTTTGGTTAAATATTAATTAATCTATCATGTCTCATGCACTGTAGTCGTTTTTCACTATTAAAGTAATCCCACTATTCTTGTCCAAGAATGGTTGCAGGTGCCAAAACATCCCATAAAAACACTGCTTTAGTCACTACAAGCTAGGGCTGCCCCCAAATAGTCGACCAAACGTTAGTCGACCAGAAAGGTCATTAGTTGTCAAGATTTCATTGGCTTAGTCGCAGAAAAAAACTCCATTAGGAGCTGCACCTTGTCAAAATAAATCCAAACCTATATGACTGGACCATGTGTGACTTTACTTTACTTTCAGGTTAATTTCCAGGGCTGGTACCTGCGGTTATTCCACAGGCTAGTTAATAACATGTCGGGCAGGAAATCCAAAGTGTGGGATCATTTTGAGAAGGTGAAGGACGAACCCAAGGTGATATGTAAACTCATCTTCATTGGTCGACTACAAACATGACGTATCATCTGAAACATGGAAGTAGCTACATGCCCATTAGCCCACAGCGTCATTAACAGGCGGCTCGCTCAGTGTGTGACGTGCACTTGGAGATAAAATATAGGCCAACCCATTAAACCACAGCAGAAGAAGAGGCTACAACAAGATGGTGTAATTAAAGAGCTCCAGTCTAACATCAAATCAATGGATGGAAACACGACATTTCTGGTTCATGTGTTTTCACAGTCTCCTTGTCGCTTCGCACAGATCTAATGTTTTTGGCTCTTCAGTCGATGTTTAAGTCACATGCTTCATGTACGTCATGACATATTTGCCAAGCCTGTTTCCAGTGCACTTTGTCACATTTTGCCTTTATTGATACATCAGGCCTACTTTTTTTTGCTGTAATAACTGTTTGTTTATTTTTTCTCTTATTTTCAGTGTTTTCACTCATTTATTTTCATAAGCAGGTGGATGGAAGCACACCTGTAGCATCTATACCTGTGAGGGTCTGCAGAACCTTTAACATGCAATTTCAGATATAATGACCTATGTATTAAACAAGAGCTCCTGTGATTTAGTACGTTTTAGAATAGATTTTAAGATTTTTACTGATTACTTTAAAGGCTCTTCATGGTCTCTATCCCAGTTACATCTCTGACCTCTTAGCGCCATACACGCCGCTACGTACTTCGAGGTCCTCGGGCAGCAGAGGTCTTTTGTCTGTTCCAGAGGCCCGGCTGTAAACCAAAGCAGACAGAGCGTTTGCTGTCAGGGCCCCGAGGCTCTGAGGAGATCTGCCCGAGGAAATCAGGTCAGCAGAGGCAGTGATCTCTTTTAAGTCCCTTCTTAAAACAGATTTTTATCGGAGAGCCTTTCCTGACTTTATTTGATTTTCTAATTCACTTAAATTGTCCTTTATTTCTTCAGTTTTTATACACTGAAGTGTTTTCATCAGTTCTTCTTAAAGTTGCTGCTTTCATGTCTTGTCTGTTTTGATTACTGACATGTAAAGCTCTTTGTAACTCCTTAGAAACGTGCTTTATAAATAAAGATCATTATTATTAGTAGGAGTATTGCTGCTATTAAGCTGGGAAACTTCCAGGGAAAAAAGTTAAAAGCATCAGATACAGAAAAATACACATTTTTTAGTCCCTAGTACAGGTCTTGCACCATAAAACAGAGCACTACATTCCCCATAATGCACCAATTAACATCATCTTCCCTGATAAACACACACTGGCAGTTTGTAACACAGGCTGTGTGTAATAAATTTGTCATCTGTGAGCGCGAGCTGAGATAACCCAGATGACTTCACCATGACTTCATCAGACTTGACAAAGCTCCTCCGCAGCCACAGAGGACTTTATACAAGTGTTTTCACAGCCTGGCGGTTTCTCTTTAATACTGCATAAAACAGAACTTTACGACGACGTGTCCTGACTTTATTTCATTTCACCCAGCCAGACCATAATACAACTGCAGACTGACAGCAGGAGGAAAGAGTGACTTCATTTGACCCCAGAAGAAGAATCCAGGCCGCGTGAAACACAATCAGCCGAGAGACACCGAGCTGTTGTGAGCACAACAGAGAGAAGCCTCTCACGCTGACAACACAGCAGAGTATCAAACATGGTTCAATATTATTGTTAGAGCATGTTACATACAACGACATCACCTCAGGTGCTCCTCAGAAAACATGAACAACAAGCTAATCAAGTTCACAGGAAGCAACAGGATGTGATTGGGGCTATTATATATCAGGATGTTCTTGGCTCCGCAGCAGCAGATTCATGTTCAGTATTTCCACAGGTGGAGAGTTTCAACAGTCAGACAAAGCTGCGTTCACAGGCCTGTATTTCTGATGAAGGACGTCTTTATTTGCAGTCTGTGTAACTGTGCATGAACGCACCATCCTGGCCAATCTGTCTGCACTTAAAACTAAAAATCCACACAGACATTTAAAAGGAAGAAATACAACACTATAATAGAATACAAGACCAAAAGTATGTGGACACCCAAACACAAACCTGAAAGAATAACTTGTTTTTGTGTGTCTAAAATTTCCTCTAACTTGAACAAAAAGGCGTGCAAAACATGAGAAACAGTCCCGAATATGACATACACTTTTGGACACTTTTCAGTGTTCTTTTCTTGGACGGCTATAAAATATGTTTTTATGGTACAAACTGCAATTTTTCTGTATTTAAACACTGAATAAAGAGCTGTAAAAAACAAACATAGCATGTATAATAAAGATTTGTTTCTCTTTTTTAGTCCAAAATCTAAAAACCATTGTCGCTCAAAGGTGAAGTGTGTGAGATTTAGGGCAGGGGTGTCAAACATACAGCCCAGGGGCCAGAACTGGTCCTCCAAAAGGTCCAATCCAGCCCACTAGATGACTTTGCACACCGAATATTGATGCACTTGTGAAGGCTGAGAGGAGCAGTGAGCAGATACTTTATGTAAACTACTGCCTCAGAGGCTTTTCCACCCCGACCAGAAAACAGCTCTCTGAAATAACAATGAATACTTACTGTGGTCAGATTTAAAGATAGTGAACATTGTGCAAAATATTGTCGACCAGCAGCTTCAGCACAAAACAATCTGTATCAGACTACTATCTTAAAACAATATTTGTGGAGCCCTGCTGCTGAGGCACTGGCAGAACTTTAGATTTAAAATGGTTTATAAGGCTGCGGACGACTTAATCCTGCTTCTCCAACAGCTTCTGCTTTAGTGGAAACATTTTGAAATAAGTCACATGCAGTGAAAGTGAGTCGTAGACTGACTGAATGTGGAAAAACTGAGACATACTGTTAGATATTTTTCTGAGGATATCACAGGGTGCTCATCATTTGTTTTGCAAACAGTCTCAGAATTAACTTTACAGGACAAAAAAGGGAAAATTTGAAGGGGTTGTTATTTATAGGTCATTGTGCAGTGGTTTTACTGGTCCGGCCATCTTGAGATCAAATTGGGCTGTTTGTGGCCCATGAACTAAAATGAGTCTGACGCCCCTGATTTAGGGGGATTTGGTGGGGTCTAGCAGTGAACTGCAGAATGCAACCAGCTAAAACTTCTCCCTAGAATTCCTTCAGTTTCTGATGTTTATGAGGGTCACACCAAAAACCAAATTTTCTGCAGAGGTCTCTTCCTCTCCACAACAAACAAACCAGGTGATTAAAACCGCTAAAAACACTGAATAAAGTAGTTTCACGGTCCAAATCAGTGTTTCTCCGATGCTGTTTGGCAAGTTGGAGATAGGCCATTAGCCCAGCGCCTGCTAATGTTAGGTCACCTTTTTTCTATGATAACTTAGATCCAGATGTTCAGGAGGTTTTTACCGGGAGCTGAATTATCCGCAGAGATCTCTTCCTCTCCAAAACAAAAAGACAAGGTGATTTCAACCAGAAAAAACACTGAGAAATCAGTGAAACTCTGACGCTGCTCGCTGCAGATGTGCTTCTAACTATGGAGGCTGCTTAAAAAATGCAAATGTCCCTCTCTAGATCCAGTGTTTGGTTTGTCTGTTCTGGGCTACTGTAGAAATATGGCGGTGCAACATGACAATCTCCACAGACAAGGACCTGCTCCCTATGTAGATAGAAACGGCTCATTCTGAGGTAACAAAAACACAACAAGTCTAATCTAAGGATTACACACTAAAGAAAACACACTTATTATATTCCTTTTCTGCCAATATATCCCCCTAAGTCCCACACTGGACCTTTAAACAGTTGATAAATATAAAACTGTTCAGTGGGGACATGTGAACAAAAGAAATTATGATATAAAGCTGCAGAAAATATTAACAAACAACCTTCTACCGACAAAGAACTGTAAACAACAAGCACTGCAGTCTCAGATAAAGAGCCTGCGACCCTGCAGGTTTAATATCGGGCTGTGCCCAATTAAAAATGACTCCGCAAATCAACAGTGTTAATCAGATGTTCACCCACATCAGCGGAGGATCTGTCTCGTGTTTTCAGTCTCAGCGTTTATTAACGAGGCAACACAGGACACACATTCATTAGGCGCCGTGGGATTATTAGAGACACGACCAAGCATGTCAAAATATCAAAGGACACACCCTCCTCTGCAGGGAGACGGTTGCCGGGGTGCGCAGCTTTTAGTGGCACACACACACACACAATATACACAAAAGCTGTGTTCACACCCAGATCTCTTTGTTTTCTCTTTAGTTGCATCCACATGGATAAGAAAAGAACAATGAAAGATGAACTTGGCAGTTACAAAAAAAAAAAACGTATGTTCCCATGTGAAGAAAACAACCACAGGTGACAGGTTTTGATTTTGGCAGCCAGAGGCAACTCCAGGTAAACATATCGCATCACCTGA